TTTTTGAGTTTTTTTTTTTTTTTTTTTAAATTATCTGCTGAAATTTAAAATCGAGTAATTATTAATACATTATTTCTTCGTACTATTTACAAATTTTTTTTTATATATATTATTTTCTTCAAGGTATTTGTTCGTTTTTTCTTTTTTTTTTTTCACTCACTCACTCATTTATTATCACAAAATTATTATTTTATTGCCAAATTTAGGGGGGGGAGGAAGGAGGAGGAGGGAAAAAAAGTGAAATTTTTTATTTGTCAATGCCTTTAAATTCATATTCATGGATATTTTATATTACAATATTTTACAGTAATTATTTAAAATGTGATTATTAATATTAATTTAAAATTTGCATACAATTTTTACTTTTTTTTTTTTACCTCCAAGTTGTATTGTATTTTTTTTTTTTTTTGTAAATTTTGTAAACGTTTTCCTCAAAAAAAAAAAAAATACATGGATGGTTTTTTTTGTTTTGTTTTGTTTTGTTTTGCTTTTGTTTGCCTGACATCTTTGTTGCGTGTTGCATAATAATTTTTTTTCTTTCCCCCCAGTTTTCATTTGAATTTTTTTTTCTCATACTGTATCGATTGTATGAAAACAAATTATTCATTGTATTATGATGTATTTTGTGATGCATTTACGATTATTTTAATATTATTATTATTATTATTATACAATAAAAAAATTTATGTAATATTTACACACACACTAATTTAAAATAACCCAACTGTTTAACATTAATTTTCCGAGTTCATGAGTTGAACAAACTTATGAATTTCTTTTTTTTTTTTTTTTAAAGAATCAAATGAAAAAATTTTATGATACGGATTAAAAATTAAATAATAATCAAAAGTAATTTTCCAAAAATAGTTTGTTGTCATTTAAAAAGAAATTTTTCGATACGAATTAATGATGTTTTGTCATTTAATAATAATAATAATAATAATAATAATAATATGAAATTTCATAGAGTTTAATTAATGTATCGGTTTTCAAAATGATTCATTGAAAAAAAATTTTTTAATTAATTTTTTATGTTTTGTTTCTTTTCAAAACATAACATAATACAAACAGAATAATTTTTTTTTTTTTTTTCTTTGATTTCAGGAAACACACCGTGATGAAGCGTCGAAAGTAGTTAATTTAAAAATTTGAAAAAACATTTTATAGAAAGTAAAATTGATTCATTATTATTAGTAGTATTATTCAAAAAAAATGAAAAGTTATTTAGTTATTCTCCTGTTGGCAAGTGTCGGAGCTACTAGCGAAGACATAAATGCCAATGAAATTAAAAGGCGCATGAAACTCATTGGTGGAATTCCAAGTTACGGGATAACAAATTATCCGTTAAAAGTAAATGAAAAACCTGATGGAAACGATGGCGTTAATTATTCCGAACCTGAATTGTTATTACAATACAATTCCACCTCTAATTTCAATCCGAAAGGAATGGGACATTTGTATTTTGTTACGAGATTATTCATGAGCATAATACAACCCACGAATGGGAGTTTTCCCGATGGTAAGTTTGATTTATAAAAATTTAAAAATAAAAAAAACAAACGGTCAGAACTTGCTAAAATTTCTCTACGTCGCTTGGGAAGAAAAAAAAAAGGAAGGGGGGGGGAAACATCCATAAATAAAAACAATTTTAATTACGTTTTACTTAGGCAAGATAATTTTTTATCCCTTTGGGTTTAAACGTTCTGGTAAATTACCTGTAACCCTTAATGATTCAGTTGAAATATTTTTATTCGTTGGTCTCTAAGAACCAAAAAAAAAATAATAATAATAATAATTTTTGATAATAGTAACAAAAATCACGTAATCATTTTTTATAATTGAAAATAATAATTATTTAAAATCGACAAGAGCACTTTTATTTGATAAGATTATTATAGCACTCGAAACGAAATGATAATATTGTATCGTCAATTGTTCAATTGCCTGTTTATTTGTTTGTTACTAACAAAACAAACAATTCACGATAATGATAATTAATAAAAAGATACTTTCGCTGCAACAGGTTTTGCT